GCCACAACGCAAGCAGCCGTCCTCAGGTGAAGAAACAGAGCTGTCAGAAAGACAGCGTCTCAATGAACACCGCCAAGCTTGGCAGCGTATATTTAAGCTGTCGGAGGAGGAGAGCGCCTTGACAAAGGAGTTTACATATCAACAGCGGAATTAAGCATATTGATGGAAAATGCAGATATGGGATTAGTCACTCCTTGTGGAATGTGTAGGTGGTGGGGGGGTCTCAAAGTCATATTATGCTCGTGTATTATGTAGGATTAGCAGTGATAAAGTGAGGAATTAGGATTAGCAGTAATAAAGGAAGGGACATTTTAATCGTAAGGGGCTGCAGCAGCCAAACCACCGCGTATCAAGCTCGTGCATTATGTGGGCAACAAAAAAGTCCGAGTGCATATGATGTTGCGAACGTGCAAAGGGATGTAGAGAGAGTTCCACACCGAGGGAGCGACAGCAGAGAGCCGACACGAGGTTGAACCAGTTGGAGACCTCGGAGTCCGAAGCAGATTTTGAGTTAGGCTGCTGCAGCTGCTGCGTAGAGATCTCACGTGAGCCATCGGTGCAAGGCGAGAGTAGTGAGGCGAGGTGTGATGGAGAAACCGGTGGTGAAGGCGCGATGACAAAGACAGGCGCGATTTTGTACTGAATTCAGGAGTAGTTCTGCAATGTCATCTTCCAGGGCGCACTGTTCGCTGTGACTGTTCAGAATGTGAGTTTCTTCATCTCGTGACATGACAACAATGGGGACCATTTGGAGAGACTTTTTTTCGAGTAAAAATAAATGCCCAAGTTCTTTTACAATATGGGAACCTCATTTGCCAGTCAAAATATGATAATTGTTTTTTTACCGTTCCATCTGGCAACAATGTCTTTTGTTTGTATTATGACTGCAGGTATTGCGGTCTATGCAAACATGACTCCTTGTAAAAAAGGTGTCAGTTTTGTTGCCAGATAGAAGGGTAAAAAATCAATTATCATATTTTTACTGGCAAATGAGGTTCTCCATAGTGTAGATGCCTCCCCCGAGCTCTCATATTCTGATGGTGCATTGTCTTTGAGTTGTGCGCTTTTTGGCGCCATCTGGTCCAACACCATGTGAGACTAGGCTCTAAGGAAAGCTGTCTCGGGTGTGGACCAATCAACTTCAAGGACAGTGCACATTATTAGAGTTATGTCTTTTGTTTGTATTATGACTGCAGGTATTGCGGTCTATGCAAACATGACTCCTTGTAAAAAAGGTGTCAGTTTTGTTGCCAAATAGAAGGGTAAAAAACAAATTATCTTCTTTTACAATGTCAATCCAAATGGCATGCGCCAACCGCTATAGATAACCAGGTCGGGGCGATGATGTTTGTAAGTGTGGCACGGTCTGTCAAAATTAAGTGCCAGCACGCTGACATTTTTTATTTTTACACAAGCACATCTTGAAAAGAACATTTTGATGAAGTGCTACGTGAAACCAAAGTCACATTCTTACCGACGCTTATCGTAACCCCCCGTTGCCCGATAGCGGAGGTGGGGGGAAAACTACCAATTGTTTAGCAGTTGATGCACGGTTTAATAAGCTCAGCTTGACGCTTCATTCATCAGACACAAGTGGTATGCACTCGCTTCTGATTTCAAGGGCGTTGGACTTGTGGAATCTAACGATATAAACTTTGTGCGTGGGCTCTGTTGTTGGGAATGAGGTTAATCGTGAGCATGACACGTATGCTGATTGCAGATGATACATAAAGTTTCAAGATTTAAAGAAACATGCACCGTTCTCGCCGCTTAGTTTTTTTATATTTTCAATACAACTTCTACTTGAAGTTCTATAAGTAGAAGTTTATTATAAAGTAGTGGTACATTGTTAACATATTTCGCACGTTCTCAGCTCCAGTAACAAATAATTTCCGCCCACAAAGTCTGCAATTGCTTTCCACTCTGGCGTCCGCTCTATCGACTCCCTGCCTCTGTTCAAGTCCAGGCTGACTAACTTTATATTGTTAATATATTATAGTAATAGGTTTTTACCCTTTCAACTGGTACAAAAACTGACACCTTTATACAAGGGATCATGATCTCTTTTGTACCAGTTGAAAGGGGTAAAAACCTATTACTATATTTTGTCACTGGTAAAGGAGGTCTCATAGTGTAATGCTTACCCCGAGCTCTCAATACTCTGACAGTGTGCTGTTTTTGAGTTGTACGCCTTTTGGCGTCATCTGGTCCAACACCAATGGAGACTAGGCTCTAAGAAAATCTGTCTTGGGTGTGGACCAATCAACTTCAAGGACAGTGCATATCATTTTCATTATCAGAGTTGTTTCTTTTTGTTTGCATTTTGACTGCTTGTGTTGTGGTTATTGCAAACATGATCCCTTGTATAAAGGTGTCAGTTTTTGTACCAGTTGAAAGGGTTAAAACCTATTACTATATTTTGCCACTGGTAAAGGAGGTCTCATAGTGTTAACATATGTTTTCGTCTTCCAACTACTGACCGCCTCTATGTATGACATCAGTATGCCAACGTTTTGTCCGTACATTGTCTGAGGTGCTGCTGCATTTCGATGCAATATCAAATGCAAATCGTCAACTCAATCTCGATTTTCGCTGTGTACCTTACGTCAATTAAAGGCATCTGAGAGCGCTTTACATGGAATTAAAAGGTACAAGAATGTGTAACACACAATATAAATAAAAAAACGCAATATATTTAGTTTATTAACAACAAACCAAAATACAAGATAAAGGTGCAGCACTGCAATTGCTTGCTCATACCACTGCTGGCAGAAAGGGCCTTCACTAGATGGAGCTCTAGACAGCCCCTCAAAGGGGATATTTTCGCCTGCTTCTCCACATTGGCCTCACATCTTGGAAGAGATCAAAACCAAGGTCACGGGGCATCACACGTCACCTTAGCGACACACACGTGGCATCACACTGCCGATGGAAGTGACGATGTGATGGTGAATCTGGATCCCTAGTGGGGCGCGTTGGTGTGCTGCATCGGTGTGCTGCATCGGTGTGCTACATCGGTTTGCTACATTGGTATGCTACATTGGTGTGCTACATTGGTGTGCTGCATCGGTGTGCTGCATCGGTGTGCTACATCGGTGTGCTACATCGGTGTGCTACATCGGTGTGCTTCATCGGCGTGCTACATCGGCGTGCTACATCGGTGTGCTACATCGGTGTGCTTCATCGGTGTGCTACATCGGTGTGCTGCATCGGTGTGCTGCATCAGTGTGCTACATCGGTGTGCTACATCAGTGTGCTACATCGGTGTGCTGCATCGGTGTGCTACATCGGTGTGCTGCATCGGTGTGCTACATCGGTGTGCTACATTGGTGTGCTGCATCGGTGTGCTACTTCGGTGTGCTTCATCGGTGTGCTACATCGGTGTGCTACATCGGTGTGCTACATCGGTGTGCTGCATCGGTGTGCTACATCGGTGTGCTGCATCGGTGTGCTACATCGGTGTGCTTCATCGGTGTGCTGCATCGGTGTGCTACATCGGTGTGCTACATCGGTGTGCTTCATCGGTGTGCTGCATCGGTGTGCTACATCGGTGTGCTGCATTGGTGTGCTGCATCGGTGTGTTGCATCGGTGTGCTGCATCGGTGTGCTGCATTGGTGTGCTGCATCGGTGTGCTACATCGGTGTGCTTCATCGGTGTGCTGCATCGGTGTGCTACATCGGTGTGCTGCATCGGTGTGCTGCATCGGTGTGCTGCATTGGTGTGCTACATTGGTATGCTGTATCGGTGTGCTGCGTTGGTGTGCTGCATCGGTGTGCTGCATCGGTGTGCTGCATCGGTGTGCTACATTGGTGTGCTACATTGGTGTGCTACATTGGTGTGCTGCATCGGTGTGCTGCATCGGTATGCTGCATCGGTGTGCTACATTGGTGTGCTGCATCAGTGTGCTGCATCGGTATGCTGCATCGGTATGATGCATCGTGTGCTGCATCGATCAATGGACACGAGGAGAATCCCCAAGACAGAACATTAGTTGACAAAACACCATTCACCCCCCAATCAATCAATGGAACAATTAATTATGCACACTTCTCGGCAGTTATGACTGTAATTAAAACTGCCTCGTAATCCGTCACAATGGTGAGCTCTGCTTGATTCGGATCTCAGGCATCACGGGGGAGGGCGCGGGCGAGAGGGGGGGGGGGCATTCAAATTCACATTTCACTTTTTCTTTACCACGTCGGCACGGGCGGCACTTTATTTACTCCTCTGCCAGACCACGAAGACAGTTCCATTAAAGGTGACGTTGATCTGACGGGGGTGTTTTTTTTTGCTGGTGTCGGAAGGCCCCCCGTGATGGGGAATGAATAGATTTCACTGCCCTCCCTCCGTTCCAACTCTCGCCATATTTCGTGTTCAGTCCCTTGGCCAATTACCCTTGCAGACCACGTTAATCAGTCTTGGTGTTTCTGGGTCTTGCCAAGCAACAGCGATTAAAAAGACATACACATTTCATTTGAGCGAGAAAAATTTAACCAATTCCAGATCAACTAAATCATATTTAATATGATATACCCAGCCTGCTGCCCAGTGCAACGATGGTGCACTAGTTAAGTGTACCGTGCTAAAAACATGGCAATCTAAGTTATATTATGGCGAACACCAGCGGTCGTGAGATGTTAACTACCTCGCCTGGTATACAGGAGGCCGTGGGTTCGATGCCGACCCTGACGCCTGTATCTTTGGAGTCTGCGCGTTCTCCCCGTGGTCGTGTGAATTTTTCTCCAGCCACCTCCGCTTTCTACCTCCACGTTCAGAAACACGTGACTCCAGCATTTGACTGATGCTATAAATTTGCACGCGAAAAGCCACTTTGTTTGACCTATCATTTGTGGGTAGCCAGGTCGCTTCTGAATAAAACAGCTAAATATAGCTCAGTGGGCCTTACATGGGAATAAAAAGATTGTAAATCGTTTAAGTCACACTTCAACAAAGCACTGGCCACAATGGTGACCATTCCCACGCCCCCCCCATCTCTCACCGGTCATCCCCCTGCCAGGACGGGTCACCGAGCAGGAGGTCGCGGAGGCGGTAGCGCGGATGAAGGGGCGGCACGCCGCTGTCGGGCGCGCTCATTCCGAGGCTGTCAGGCGAGAGAAGCAGCCCGGCGTCCGGCACTGCGAGCGGGGCTGCGGCACTCGGTAGCGGCGCTTCCTGCTGCTCCTGCTGCTGCTGCTGACGATGCTGATGCCGATGGCGACGTTGATGATGATACTGCCGCTGCTCGTGCGCTAGCGGTGGCGATTGCGGCGGCACCAATATCGACACTGACTTGGCCGACGGCGCCGGCAGTGAACCCGGGGGCAGTCGCTCTTTCCGCCTTATTGGCGCTTTGGACGATGAGGACGTGGAAGGTGCGTGCTCGATCACAGACGGCGGGGCCAGCGGTGAGGATGACTCTGTAGGCGCTGCTGCAGGCGATGATGATGATGATGATCCCGCTGCAGCCGCCGACGCTAGGAGGGATGATGAGGATGCGGATGCCCGAGGGAGCCGCAAAGCCGCCTCGCCGCCCGTCTCTTCATCGGACCTCAGCGAGTACCTACGCAAGCTGGGGGGGGGGGGGGGGTGGAAGAACACACGTTCGTGATGACACATGGGCGCAGTCAGAGTAATTTGCTCTGCACGCTACAGCGACACGCGCTGCTCTCGATGGAAGGGCTTCGGAACGCGTCGGAGGACGGTTTCGGTGGATAGAAACTCAAGGGCAGCAGCAAGAAACTAGATGTTGTCTGTGCGCACGTGCAGGCATAAACTCCCGCATCCCCTATGGACACACAGTTGGTGTTAGTATCACCATCATGGTATTTATTACTGCTGATCACAGCCGAGCCCTGCGCACCATCATCGAACGGCCCGCCGTGAGATTGGAGACGACCACGGGGAAGGCACCGGTTGACGTGGACTAAGTGCGATTGAGGCTGATCTTCCACCAGTGTGTACAACATTCTCTGGCGCGTGTCGTGACGGGCACTCCAGGATCCAACCGTGACCGTTCAGTGCTCGCCGAGCTATATTGGCTTACGGTGGCTGAACGAATACATCGTGAAGTCGCACTCAATATTCACAAAGTGCTCGCCACAAATGAACCACAATACCTTGCTGATGTCGTCAAGGAGCATAAACCATCACGCGAACTCCGGTCATCCTCGCAGCGACTTTTGGCTAGCCATCAAACAAAAACGGTCAGATGCACTTTTGCGGCCGTCTGGAATGCTCTTCCTTCCGAGATTCGGAAGCCACTGGAGCTACGCGATTTTCAATCATTTAGTTTGAAAACTAATTTCTTTACAACTGCGTTTTGTGTTTTGGTTTGTTGCCCTTCCCCCGCACCTCCTATTAGCGCGGCTGGCTACGTACGGTGCGAAAGAAGTTCAACGTACAGACGTACATACCATGGCCTTGGCCTGCACTCAGCACTGTGGCGAGCGCCGGGTAGGGTCGCCTGGCAGCATCTCGTGGGGTCTCCTACGCCCCAAGGGGGTTTGCTCCCGATGACGACGATGATGTTCGCTCATCTTTTGTCCACATTTTCAAAACCAGCGCGTCATTCCTCACTCAACACTTGATGGAACGCTTCTCGGCTGACTGAGAATAGGGAATGTTGGCGTAAGGCACTAACACTGGAGTATGAGTGATGCCGACCCTTAATAATCTCATTGTACACAATATTTACAATAATCCTATCAACAGATGCACAACCGAATTTTTTTTTTAAATAATGGCAAAATAATTCCCACAACAACGGTCTGGACTGTTCCGACTAAAATTATGATTCTTCATCTCACTGGGGAAACACATTCCTGCGGAGGGAGCTGGTAGTAACGTTGGGTTGCTCGGTCAATGGCCACGGTCAACGGCGGCGTGGTGTATTCCGCAAATATGCCCAACTGTGAGGATGGGCACAAGCCGGCGTGAGTAGGTTAAACGTTGAGTTTTATAAGGGCACCACGGGGTGACCAGCCCCTCCCCACCCAGCCCCACCCCACCCTCCCTTCCCCACCCAGCCCCTCCCTCACCACCCAGCCCCTCCCTGCACGACGGACACAATAATCCCCTGTGGGCTGGTGTAACCAGGAGGTTTTTACCAGTATGAAGTTAACTTGGCTCTGAGCCAGGGGTGTTCTAATGGACTCAATAGACCATTAAAAGGCATGGCCTGATGTTGTTGTTCTTTGGGGAAAATAACGACACCGGCACGGGTGCATGTGTGCAGAGGTAGATAACAAGGACCCGAAAGACGTGACGCAGCAGCGCGGGTCCATTTCCCAAGTACCAATTAACATGCGATATTTTGTTTTAAATGTGATCACAGCAGTACGTTCACAAAGAAAACAACAACATGTTTATCAATTTGACGTCCTTCTTGTCGCTGATAAGAAGAGACCAGCAGGCCTTTAGATCACCCCGTCACAGTTTATGGGGCTACGATGCTGCCAGTCGTCGTTTCCAATTAACACGCCCCTGCCAAAAAATGGGTCGCGCTCAATGGGATGGCTTTTTAAAAACGCGTTCTATCGTCGCGATCTATTTTGCAATGGAGCAGCATGCTCCCCGTTCTTACTCCGACGGGTACTTCTTCTCCTAGCCGCTACGATTGCCACTCCTTGACCTCCTCGCATTTACACTTCATCTTCGACCCGCTGTGCAAGCAACCCCCTTTTTGTTCAGCTCCTTTCCCTGTTCCCACGGGCAATTGTTTAGGTCTATTCTCTGACCTGAACCGTATTGGGGGCACGACAGGCCGAGTGTCCGACCCACAATGTCAGTTTTGTTGACCAGTTTACGAGAGCTCTTTGGGCATGCTCGATATTGCTGCCTGATCATGCCCGGCTTTTGAAATCCCTCCCCATCATCTCTTCTCCTACGTTCTTGTAAAACTGTTGCTCGGATCTATAAATGTATTGACTCCATAAGAGGGTTTTTTTGGGGTTATATCGCCTAAATATCAATGTGGCATTAAACACACCACTGCTCGACACAGACAATTAGTAAGGTTTGTCGTGCTAAAAAATATAAATGCGTTACTAGTACAGCACACCGGTGTGTGTTGGAGAGTAAACCCAGAACATGTACAATTCAAGTACTCTACAACACACCAGTGTGCTGTACGAGTGACGAATTGGCATGTTGTGTTTACGTGACAAACCTTACTAATTGGCTGTGTCGGGCGGTGACGGGTTTAACGACACATTTACATTTCCGTGATCCAACCTCAAAAATCACCTCGACTACGAATAGTATTGGTCGAGAAAGCCTACGTGCTATAATATATTGACTATTCGAGTCAAAGTTAGTTTCCTGCTCAAATGGCTCTCAAGGCGGTGCTCACCTTGCATTCACATCCTTGAGCCAGTGGTGGAAATGGCACGTTCCATAGGAAAACGAAGATTGACGTCCCCGCAAAGTGATACTTATTTTAAAGACCTCGGAGGGATGATGAGCTGAGTCAACCCCCTTATCAGGATTTGGAACTGACAACCTTCCGATCGGGAGCCGCTCTCATTACTCCAGCGGTTATACCGTCCGTAGCGCTGTTTGTTGCAGACCGCTGCACATGTTGGGTCTTTGGGCCCTGTGCTCAGCAACTGCGATTGGAACAATGAGAACGAGAGATGAGTAGAGCTAGATTCGTGGCAATTCCTATTGTGAAATGTTAAACTTAAAACTTGCGTGACTGCAGGAATTCATATTCTTGATTCTTTCCGTAAAGTCACGTAGATAGAAAATGAAAAATATATAAATAAACAGTTTGCCTTTGGAGGCACCCCCCCCCCCCCTTTCCTGATGACGACCGTTTGTGTTGCGATCGAAACGTCGTGGGGGTTTTTTTTCTTTCTATCTACGTGACTTTACCGAAAGAACCACGACTATGTTAAACCAGTGCTACGTAAGGACCAGAGACGCCTGCTTCTAGCCTTTCCTAGCTGAGCATGTGCCCCTGAAAAAAAAAAGAATCTGTTTATATCACCGATATATCTGAATGCCGTCTTGCAACTCAGCCGTGATGCGATACTCCTTAACGATCTGCCCCTGCCTTGTATTCCACATCCCCAGAGAGGCAATGAAGTGATACAACAGCAGGCAATTCTATTTAGCTACCTAATCTAACAACAAAAATCCCCTCCGCATATGGAGAATATCATGAACGTTCACGTGCATGGCGGCACCACAGTGGCGAACGCGTTTCATCGCGATCCCAGAGGCCCGGGTTCAATTGTTGACTTTGCATCGTTGGTAAATTACCGGTGAGTGATTCTCGGCCAGAACAGTGCAAAACGCTGCTCTGGGAATGATTTCGGCACGCTGCGTCCACCTTGCCTTATTTATATCCAACCACACTACGTCAAATTTATGAAATATTGGATGAAGGCCCTGCCCCCCCCCCTCCACACCCCCCACTATGCGGTCTTGGGTGTTGTCTGACCATACTTCGCCGCGCTGGTCAAGTTAATGTAGGGAGAACCCAGAACCCGTGCCACTGATGCAAGCCGTGTCTGGGAATTGAACTCAGCTTCACAAGGTTGAAAGTGCAGCGTGCAACTGGCTGTTGTGTATTGTCTCTATGTGTGTGCACTTGTATTGGAGGCCTAGCCTTCTGCTTGATTATGATGAGTCCAGTATTTAAGGTTGGATGGTGCCTCTATGGAGACCTTGCATATCTCATGAAAGACACAATGCACACAGCAATCCAGTTCATCCAAAAAAACTGTCATAGGATTCTCAAAATTGTATAAAAAGGTTATCAGACCTGAGCTTGTGGAATAAATGATCATTTTCCATTCTTACAGTGCAAAGTGTCTCCAACATTTCCTTACCACTCAGTAATAATAGAACACATTTTGTTAACATTTCACATTTTTATTCTGTCACATCAGAGTTGTAGTACAGAAATAAAGAATTAAAATGTTCTAAATCGCAAATGGGAGTTGGAGATGGAGGGCGGTGTGCGGATGAGTGGCACGGTTGTTGGCATACTGCGCTTCCAATCTGGCAGACTGAGCTGAATCGCTGGCCATGGTGAATATCTGTGGACATCTGTGAAAAAGAGCTTCATAGCTCATCGGATTTCTCCAGCATGAATACATATTTTGACTATGAAAACATCAGTTGAAAACGATATCCGAACTGGTCATGGGCCCTCTCATTCACAAAGCCGCACTCAGCTGTGCGGTAAAGTTTGGCCACGAAAACACTGTGACCGACATGGCCTGGAGTGGCCTTCATTGGACATGGGGATTTAAAGAACAAAAAAAGGGCTGGAAATTAAAATGGAACAAATGAGATGGACAGAACAAGACAGTTTGTTGTCCTTCCTTTTTTTTGTCTTTTTCTCGCATCTTGAATGAGCACGGTTGACTAAGTATGGTACGAAAGAAGTTCAATATATTTTGATTTAAAGCTTTCGTGACTGCAGGGATTCATGTTTTTGGTTCTTTCGGTAAAGTCACGTAGAAGGGAAATAATAAAATAATACAAATATCAAACGATAAAAATTATACGACGTTTCGACTGCAACACAAACAATCATCATTAGGTGTGAAATCCACA